GTGGACTGGAGACCTATTTGTCCCAGACCCTTGCTTTAAAACAGCCTTGTCAAGCCCTTGGCACTGCTGTGCTGAGATGGTCCGAGCTTGTTGGTTAAATTTATTGCAAATATTAAAGGTCCGTTTTGACTTGATTTTCCCTTTATGTTGACAGCAGCTGGGTCAACATAGAAATGAGATTTTCCAAGAAACTTACTTTGGGAGTAAGATGAAAGGAAAGAAATATTAGTTTATAATGAAGACTTTTAGAGGTACTCAGAAACTTTAATATAGGAGCATCTCATTCCCTGCTGAATTTGGTCCCAGATCTAGCATTCCTTAACACAATCATAGTCATTATTTTAAATACTGCTCATAAACTATGATACATGGCTGATTATTCTTAAATCAGAATCTGTTACCCTCTGCCAAGTTGGAAATACTTATAAGCATAAACATTCCTATATATTCCTCTCCCCTTTTCTTTCTCAAATATTCATGTTTCTTACTCCTTATTTTTGTTATGGCCTCTTCTTCTGAGATCTTGATTTCTCTTCCATATATTGACATTTTATTCTTTTTACTAGAGGCCCAGTGCACGAAATTCATGCGTGGGTAGGGTCCCTAGGCCTGGCCGGCGATCAGGGCCAATCTGTGGGGCAACCAGTGAGATGATTGGGGCCTGGCACCAGCCCTGCCCCCCACCCCCAAAGGTCGAGGCCTGCAGGCTGGGGGGCAGTTCCTGCATTGAGCGTCTGCCCCCTGGTGATCAGTACATGTCATAGCGACCAGTCATTCCACCATTTGGTTGATTTGCATATTAGGGTTTTATATAGATAGATATTTGCCATCTTATTCAGAGAATTGCCTATTTTTATAGTTGCCTCATGGGACAGTAAATCCCAAACTGTTAATCCTTTAGATTTCTGCCATGGTTCTTTATCTTTTTATATTCTTCATGCCACTTCTCGTTATGCGAAGTCACAAACATTTTAGCAGCCTTCCAAACTATCAGTTTGCATTTATTAACTTCAAAAGCTACTTTAGCCGAAACCGGTTTGGCTCAGTGGATAGAGCTTGGGGCCTGGCACCAGCCCTGCCCCCCACCCCCAAAGGTCGAGGCCTGCAGGCTGGGGGGCAGTTCCTGCATTGAGCGTCTGCCCCCTGGTGATCAGTACATGTCATAGCGACCAGTCATTCCACCATTTGGTTGATTTGCATATTAGGGTTTTATATAGATAGATATTTGCCATCTTATTCAGAGAATTGCCTATTTTTATAGTTGCCTCATGGGACAGTAAATCCCAAACTGTTAATCCTTTAGATTTCTGCCATGCTTCTTTATCTTTTTATATTCTTCATGCCACTTCTCGTTATGCGAAATCACAAATATTTTAGCAGCCTTCCAAATTATCAGTTTGCATTTATTAACTTCAAAAGCTATTTTAAAGTTTTCTTTCTCACTCCTACACATGGTTAAATTAGTATAAAGAGATAGTGAAAAAGTAAATTCTCTTCTCTTTCTCAAGCATCCTCTCCCCTATTCTGTTATCAAAAGTTCCAATTTTTAAAAAACTTGTTTTAATTGTCAAAAGATTTGAAGGTTATTTTGCATGTTTTAATTTCATTTATTTAGAGCTTTGTTGTCACGCTTTCTTTTTCACTCCTACACATGGTTAAATTAGTATAAAGAGATAGTGAAAAAGTAAATTCTCTTCTCTTTCTCAAGCATCCTCTCCCCTATTCTGTTATCAAAAGTTCCAATTTTTAAAAAACTTGTTTTAATTGTCAAAAGATTTGAAGGTTATTTTGCATGTTTTAATTTCATTTATTTAGAGCTTTGTTGTCACAAACTAATGTTTTTCTTCTTAGGAGGTGAACTTTTTTTAAGCTACAGTGAGAATTATCTGTACTTTTCTATATATTTCATATGTTTATACTGAAAGAAGCTACAAGGCAAGTGATTCTGACTTGAACAGGGGAATTTGTAGGTCACAGTTTAAGATCTATTATTGGAATAAAATAAAAGAAAAAACCCTTATGAGGAGGTAGTCTGGGAAGTGGAAAGAACAGGTGTCTGTTTCTGCAAATAATTAGACATTTAATTCTGACATTGCAAGTATGCAAACATGATATGCTTGAGATTTTGGCTCATGCTAAAACAACCCAGCGGGGAGGCCTGGGACAATGGTGCAGATGACTGTCATTCAGCTCCTTGTTATGGGTATACATTGGAGGCTCTGGCTTGTTCCAGAGCACAACTGTACCTTTAAAAAATTACTGTACCTCTTTTGCAGATAAGTCAGGTGTGAGATCAGAACTGCATTTATATTTACATAGAAGACAATTTAAATAATACATAGATCCCATAAGGTACAGTTGAACTTAAATGCAGTCAACAGATAAATTCAGTTCCTATTGTATACAAAGCAGTCTGTGAAGTGCTTTGGGAGTTAAATGTAAAATAAATTGTGTTCCATCCCTTAAATTTATTCTTAAATCCTCATTTAATAAATACTTATGAAGCTTCTATTATGAACCAGGCACTATTTTAAGCACTTTACAAATATTAACTTATTTAAGCTTCATAATAGCTTTTGGATAAAACAGGGTTAATCTACAGAATAAAAAATTTAATGATTTACTCAGCAGCAAAATCAAATTCATCAAGTGTATCTTTCCCATATAGTCCCAATTCTACAAGAGCTAATAAAGAAATATCCAAGTCATTATGTAAAACAAATAAGCTTACATTTCACATAACAACCTCGTGATGTAGAACTTAGTATCATAAATGCAATTTCCAAAGCCTAATAACGATGTTTGTTTAAAGCATTAACAGTAACAAGACATAATTGGAAGGTTTCTTGGAGTTTATTGAAATAAAACCAGACCCTTATTTTTATGATCTGCAAGTAATTTCATGATCTATTCAGGAGGAATAGAGTGATGATGTCATCAGCTGTATGAGATATAATGCAAATTCATTTGGTGTTGAATAAATGGGGCCATGCAAACTAAATGTTTCTAAGTCTGTCTGTCTTACTTAGGGGGAGGAAACTAGTTCATAGTCTAATGATTTTGATTAGAAGTAAATGTATGAAGGTAAATCTTGTGTTCTTCACTATGTTGGCTGTATTATAAACTTAATTTTTTGAAAGAAATAATTGAGAATGAATATTTGAAAGATTTTGTTTTCTCAACGTATTTAAGAAATCGATATTGTAAAAACTTCTCTTTTGCCTTTAAACTTTACATCTGTAACAGTTGTGAAATTTTATCCATTTACCTCTTTATCTCTACATAGAAGTTTCTCTCTAATCTGTGTTTACTGTGGTGATTTCTCATAGGTTCAGAGAGGATTAGTGATCTACGTGTGCTTTTTCAAGGGAGCTGATAAAGAACTTCTTCCAAAAATGGGTACGTTTTTGATGTTGTTTCTTTTTTGAGTGAGAATGTGTAGCAATCCTATTTAATAAAAGAGAAACATGGTAATTAGCCATACCTCTGCTACCCTTCCCATTGGCTAATCAGGGCGATATGCAAATTACCTGCCAGCCAAGATGGCGGCTGGCAGCCAGCAGCCTTGAAGCGAACATGAGGCTTGCTTGCTTCAGTGACGGAGGACTCCAACGTTCCCCGCCTGCCCCTGCAGGCCTCTCAGCTTGCAGTTTGAAACATTGTTACAAATATAGAAGCTAAACAAAACCCCAGAAACCTGCTTTCAGCCAGCCGGGATCTCAGAGCTGGAGTTGAAACAGTGTTTCGATTATAGAACCCAAACAAACCAGATACCTGCTTTCAGCAGCCGAGGCCTCAGAGCTGGAGCCAAGCCTCAGAGCTAAAGCTGGCCCAGAATAAAAAAAGAAAAGAAAAAAAGGAGCGGTTGGGAGCTTCAGTCACCCGCCAGCCTGAAAAC